TTGTAATCCACATTTAGGAGTGAGATGGGACGGTAGTTCTTAAGTTGAGTCTTTTCAGATTCCAGCTTAGGTATCAATGTGATGAATGCTTCTTTCCACGTTTCCGGTGCCCTCTTCCCCTCCATAATCTGGTTGCAAACCTCCATCAAAGGTTGTATCAAGTAATCCTTCAAAGTCTTATAATATTTGGAGGTAAATCCATCCGGGCCTGGAGATTTGCCTAGTTGCATGTTCTGGATGGCACCTTCAATTTCCTGTTGAGTTATTTTGCAATTCAAGATTGATCTTTTATCCTGAGATACTTTTGATAGTCCATTAGTTTTTAAAAATTGGTCTATCTCGAACTCTTTCTGTGGCCCCTGTGCATAAAGTTCTTTAAAGTATCTGTGGAAGCACTTCCTAATTTCTTCTGGTTTCTGAACAATTCTCCCTTCAATCTCTAGATTTGTAACCGTATTTAATTTTTGTCTCTTTTTCAGCTGCCATGCTAGCAGCTTTCCACATTTATTTGCTGATTCAAACGATCTTTGCTTCATTTGCTTAATTTTCCATTCAATCTCTTGATTTATCAATTTCGAGTATTGTGCTTGATGAAATTTGATTTCTCTCAGCACCTCCTTTGACTTTGGTTTAGTTCTCAATTTTTTCTCTCCTTCACTTATTTTCTCCAAGATTTTCTCCTTTTTTCCATTCCAGAGTTTCTTCTTAATTGTATTTTGTTGTATCAGAAACCCTCTCATAACTGCTTTACTGGCATCCCAGATCGTTCTTTCTTCTACCGTAGTGTTCAAATTTATTTCAAAATGATCCTTTAACGTTTTTTGGGCCTTCTTCACAATCTCTTGATCTCTTAGTAAGGTGTCATTCATTCTCCATCTGAAGGATCCGGTTTGAGTAAGTCTCAGTTCCATTTTCAAAGCATTATGGTCGGAGCAGGTTTTTGGGCAGATTTCCACCTTTCTAGTCTTAGGTGCCAGCCCTCTAGATGTCCATATTTGGTCGATTCGTGTCCATGACAGGTGGGCCTCAGAAAAGAAAGTTCCTTCTTTACCTAGGGGGTTCTTTGTCCTCCATATATCAATCAGGTCCATATTGTCAGTCAGTTCGAAAAAGGTTTTAGGCAGTCTGCCGTCTGTTGTTATGTTTTGATTTTGGGATTTGTCCATATTTGTTGAAACCACCCCATTCATATCACCCATCATAATGATGTTAGAATAGTCCAAATAGTCCAGCATAGTCTCATGCAGCTTCTTGAAAAATTCTGATTTCCCGTCATTTGGTGCATAAATTCCTAATATCAAAAATTTTTCTCCTTGTGTCTGAATTTCAATCGCCAATATTCTTCCTTGCTCATCCTTGAACAAAAATTTTGGTGACAAATTCTCCTTAGCATATATCACCACTCCTCTTTTCTTTACCTTGTCCGAAGAAATAAATTCTTGGCCTAGTCTTTTATTAATTAACACTTTCCTGTGGAGCCTAGTCACATGTGTTTCTTGTAAGCAAATAATGTCCAATTGTTCTTTCTTTAAAATATGAAATATCCTCCTCCTTTTTTCCGGGGAATTTCCGCCATTTATGTTCCAACTGAATAGCTGCAGAGACATCCTGTTCTAGTTTGTTGGTTCTAAAGTGGGGTGTCTTCTTTTTCCTCTGATCCCGAGGGTATGGGCGTTGGTCCGCCACCAGGCGGTGTTGCTCTAGCTGATGGTAATGGCCAAGCTGCTTCTGCTCCTTTTTGGAGATCTTCTCCGTGGTCGTGCAGGAACTTTTGCTGGTCCTCTGTTGTTCTAATTTTAACCTTCTTTTCTTTGTAAGTAAAAGATAGTCCTTGTGGAAACTCCCACCTGTAAGGAATTGTGTTGTGTCTCAACAACTTTGCTAGGTCTGAATAGGTGGATCTAAGGTCCAGTAATTGTTTCGGTATATCTCTGTAAATTTCCACCCTTTTGCCTTGTATTTCAATCGATTTTTTGAAGTGAAGGCCTAGTATCTTGTCTCTCCCTTCCCTTGATCTCAGAATTATCAAACAGTCTCTGGATCTGTCCTTCCTGACCAATCTTCCCAGTCTGAAAGCCGATACAATTTTAAAATCAGTGTCTTCCTTAATGCCCCAGAACCTGGAGAATTCTGTTGTCAGATAACCGATCAGATCTCCTTGTTCAAGTTCTGGGATGGCCCTAAGTCTGAGATTGTTCTCCCGGTTTTTCAGTTCCACCATTGACGGGTAGGCTTGTTGTTCCCCTACCTGTTTGTGCAGAGGCGTGACTTCTCCTTTAATCTCTTCGACCTCCTTCTTCACTAACTCTGCTTTTTCAATCGCTTCCCCAGCTAATTTCCAATTTTCTGCTGTGGCTCCTTGCAAATTTTCAATTGCTTGTGTATGCTGGGAAACCTGGTCAGTCAATTTCTGGATCGATGATGTAGCTTGGTCAATTTTTAATGATTGGTTGTCCACCTTTTGATTTAAAGTTGACAATTGTTCCAAGATTTGTTTCAAAACTGCTTCAGCTCCTCCTGTTGCCATATCTTCTACTCCAGGCTTCTCAGATTTTTCAGTTTCCACCTGCTGTGCTACCAACACAGCTGGGACCGATGATCTACGCCCTTGTGTCAGGGTTGTTTGTACAAGTTGAGCAGGTTTTTTTTCCTTTTCTTTTTCCTTAGCTTCCTTAGCTTTAGCCGCTCTTGTTTTCCCTGCTCCACTCATTTACACATCTGTCAATGTTCAAGGTCAGATTGTCTATTGTCCCATGGGAAAGGCAGCTCCAGTTTAAAAACAATCCATAGAGAGAAAGTCAAAATACAAAGCAGTTCCCAGGCCTTTATAATTCCAAAGTCCTCTAGGGGGAGTGCCACCAAAATTCAAAGGCAAGAAGAAGCTTTTTCCGCCATTAAAGTCCCTATTTTTTCTCAGTTTAAAAACACCATAGTCCCACAACAGTAAGAAAGCTCTCCCAGAGCTCTTTTAAAATTAACAAAGTTTCAAGGAAGGTGTCTGCAACAGTAACAAGTCCAATCTATTTGTGCTCAAAAGTATCAGTTAAAGTTAACAGTTTCCGCAGTTTCACAGTTCTCTCCTGGCTGGCAGCCCGGCAATTTGGCTCTTCAAACTTTACAGCCTTTAGACGAGAGGACAACTTCAATTTAGGACTCAAAGTCTCTTTAAATTAAAAAGAATTCTATTCTTTCTCTTTTCAGCGTTAATTCTATAAGCGCACGAAAGTCCCAACTTTGACAGTTCCCTTTTTACAGCGCTTTCCGCTTCTCAAGTTCTTTGCTCTGATCTTGCTAGCAGAGCCGGAAGACGGACTTCCTTTTACTCGTCTCCCGGTTTCAGCCAACTTTAAGAAATTTTGGGTTCCAAAATTTAAAGACCCTTACTCACGGGTATGTAGTTTGCAGTCTGATGTTTCTAAGAAGAAAGGTCGGCGCTCATCAATAACAGCCGCGCGGCTTCGCTTCCGCAGAAAGAGCGATGAACTCACAGCACCGCTCCCACTCCTACACTCCGGAGCCCCTTACGGGGTTCCTTCCGCGTTTTCGGGGTAGCTCCTGGTGCCTGCCGAGTCCCACGGCCACGGGCTCACTCTACCCGTGGTTTTTCTTCGTGGGTCGCCGCTATGCCGCAGCGTGCGACCCTTTCCTGTGGAGCCCCTCTTCAGAGAACGAAGAGGACCGCCATTATCGTTTCGCGCCGCCTCCGGAAGTTGAGAAAGACAACCTTTGGATCCAAGCCATCATATTTTGACTTGGTCTTACCAATTTTTAAAGCTGCCTTGAGGCTCGGATGAACAATTCATTGAATCGATTAAAATAAATACTTAAAATAAGAATTCAGGAAGAAAGGCAATACCATAATCAATCATTTTAAAGCTGGAAACATTTCTTTAATTAATTAACCGCAAACATCCTTCTACTACTGCTGTAACTGATTCTCTCAGCTTGCAATAAAATTGTGTATGCGGCTATGTGTTCTCAGAATAAGGGAGTTATTTGCAACGTTTCAATAAGACTGCACTTCTGTTTTCCAGGAGGATAGATTTGTCAGTCATTTACTAGGGTGCTCATTAGGAATATGTGGTATCTCCCATACTGGTCAAAGGTGTACCATTGCTTCAGCTACATCATACTCTTTGAGCTCAGTATGGTGGGTTTCAATTCCTTGATGGACTCCTTGGTTTTGCCACAACAGGCAGGGAGTGTGGTCAAGGAGAGAAAAGGAAATGGGGTTGTGGTTCACTGAGATGTTGAAGGGACACCGTGTCACCTACCAGACATCAACGGCCAGCTCAAGTGGATGAAGAAGGAAATGACTTTTGGTTCCTAGAAGCTTCACCCATCTGACAGGAATAGAACAGGTAAGAAATGGAGCAAACTAGCGCTTCCCAGCTCACTGTTTGGTGAGTGGGAAAGGAAGGGGCATGGACCAGTCAATCCTCTGATCCAGAAGCCAGAGTGAGGTTTCCTCAACAGGAAACAGAGGTGTTCATTCCACTGCCTCCCCTAAGGAAGGATATCCCCAGCGGTCAAGCAGGTCACTCCTAGCTTACTGCAAGACACTTGTGATTAATTAAGAAAAAGTTGGCTCTTTGGTCCATTGTTGTGTCTTATGCCAACCTTCTGGTGTATGGGAGATTTTATTCTTGTAGATCAAATACTACATATGTGCAGAACAGATGTCTGTCTGGCCCACAGGAAAATGTGGCATTTGAGGGTGCACCCTGGTGTGCCTTGCTCACCAATGCTATGAAACCCTAGAGACATCAAAAAGTGTCCAAAACCTGCAGACCGGGTGGTTTTGTGATTTTTCCTTGCAGTTCTAGTCTAATAATGTACAGCCACATAAATCAGGGGCAGGGAACTGTGTCCATCCAGATGTCGCTAGACTGCAGATCCCATCTGTTCCAACCAACATGGGCAAGAGTCAAGGACGATGGGACTTGTAGTCTAGCAACAGCTGGAGAACCACAGACTGGTAAGGAGGACAATGTGAGAGGTAAACTGTTGATTTGCCACAGGTTTTGGTTGTGCTGGCTCAGTAAGCAAGGAGGAGTCCACACTTGCATCTTCTTGATCCTTCAGAAGCCATCACTACTTGTCCTCCAGGTTGGACAGAGCCAAGACGGCATAATTCTGCAATTGTTTGCGCTCATCCAGGTTATACTGCAGCTTCTCCAGCAGCTCAAAGTAGCGGAAGAGGGCGTCACGGGGCCAAATGACCTGCTCGTCATTTTCAGCCTCGTATAGCCCTGGCAGGTTCTTGTGGACATATGTTTCCCAATCCAGAGACCCAGCCTCGACTTCTGGTATGCTGTATATTGTGGATGGCCCCATGCTCATTCTGTCCTGCCCCTGGGGTGAGCTGTACTTCTTTTCCAGCAGTTCCATCTTAAATTTGTCAGCTTTCTGCTGAGTCTCAATCTGCTTCATTTCTTCACTCAATTCATTCCGAATGCTCTGGAAATTGGTGACCATGGTGGCCACCATGAGGTTTCTGAAGATGAATGCCCCAATGAGGAGCCACAAGCAGATAAACAAGCCACTGATTGCTTTGTTTATCTCTGGGACCTTCCACGTGTCCTGCAGCAGAGCATACCAATGGTCCATGGTGAAGAGAATAAAGATGGTCACCAGTGAATTGGGCATGTCTTGAAAATACTTGTTGTACTCTAGGTCGTCCAGGTTTGAGCGAGTGTAGCCCTCAAAGAAGAAAATGCCTGATACGGCAAAAATATAGAAGAAGAAGGCGAGGAGCACCAGGATGAAGCTCATGGCTTTCATTGCTTTGAAGAGGGCCATAATGAGGATCCGGATTTGCCGGAGTCTAGGGAAGAGCTTTAAGCCGCGCAGCACACGGCAAACCTGGAGGAAGTATGTGACGGCCTTGCTGTGTTTCTTTTCAACAAGGAGTATCAACTCAGGGATAAAGGATATGATGGTGACTGTGCAGTCAAAGACATTCCAGGAGTTCTTAAAGTAATCCTGAAAGCTAACAGCCCAGTTCAGCCCAATTTCCACCAAAAAGATGAGGACAATGACCCAGATGATCACCTCCATTGCTATCTTCATTTTCACAAAGTGGTCCTCCAACTTATCCCTTATCTCTACTAAGATCATGAGGACCACCATGTTCAGGCAGATGAGGAAGATCATGAAGACTTTGAAGATTTGGCTGTTCAGGACTGAATAAGCCCAAATAGCGACAGGGGGCCAGCGGCTGCAGCGCACGCGGATACGGTTACGGCAGCGTGTCTCTCGCGTGATCATGACATTCCGTTTGGGCACAACATTGAAGCGCACCAGCTGGTGATGGTCTGTGAGCATTAGCTTCTTTAGCTTCCGATGGTCCAGGAAATCTCGTATGTTATGGCGTGGAATAGCACTGCCTAGCCCCCGTAGGTAGTCGATCAGATAGAAAGTGTAGATCAGCTTGGAGCGGATGGCATCTGCTCGGGGATGCAGTTCAAAGGGTACTTCATTTGTCTCTTTGGAAGCATGTGATGAGGGTGGCTGGTCCTCCATGACTCCTGCTGGCTCCTCCTGGTACGGCCCAGAGGAGATTGGAAGGTTCTTCAGACAGCATAATAGACACTCAGTGGTGACCTCACAGTTGAGAGTATTCTCCTGGAGCAGTCAGAGCATTCCACTAGCCTGATTCTATTGATATGCCTAGGACTGCAGTTCTTAGGATCAATGAATGCAAGGTATATAATGGATTGCAGACATGAGCCAGTATATAGTCTAACTGCAGTAGTCCATGCACTGGTAACCTCAAGGCTTGATTATTGCAATGCACTTTATGTGGGCTACCCCTGTATCTGCTTCAGAACCTGCAGCTAGTGCAGAATGCAGTAGCTAAACTAATTACATGACTAAACTACTGGCAATATGTTGCTCCTCTGCTGTGGCAGCTGTACTGGTTGCCAGTTTCTTTTTCTGGACCAGGTTCAAGGTGTTTGTGTGAATTTCCAAAGCCCGAAACAGCCTAAGCTGAAAGGACCATCTGATCCCTTATGCTTCACCTCTGATGGGGCACTTCTTGTAGTTCCCCACAGCCCTGAAGTTCAATTGGCCTTTGCTAGGGACGATTTATTGTGGCAGACCCTGACCTGTGGCAGAGCCTGACCTGTGGTTCTCCCTGCCAGACTAGACATCTGGCAGGAACCTTCCCTGCCTTCTTTCAGATGCCTTCTACAGAGCTGTTCTACAATGAAACGCACAATATACATACATACATACATACATACATACACACATAATGTTATTCATATGCGGGGGGCCACTAGGGGGCGCATTGGAAGATGGCCGACAATACCATCTCTCCGACCCACACGGGGTAATTAAGAGGCTGTTATGGGAGTAGGCAGCCTCCCTTGTTGCCCCAAGGAAATGGGGAACACTGCCCTTGCCTGCTGTGCCCATAAATCACCCCCTAATCCAAAAGAAGGGGGTGAGGGCCCTAGGCAGAATGCCCCCGTGTGGACCTCGGCTCTCCTGGACGCTGTCTCTGATCGCGCACTAGCTGCAGCAATTTGGAATAATTAATTACAAAAGAAGCAAATGCACATATTTCAAGTGAAGAAGGGGAGTGAAGCCTGCTAATTTAAGTGACCTCTGCGAAAGAAGACGACGGGTTGGAGAAACAGGAATATTTTACGATGAAGATACACCAAAGGCTGGGTATGTTGACAACGGGACTGAATGGGGGGGGGCTTTTTTACTTTCCTTCTATGTGATTTATAAGAACCCCTCCTCATTAGAATCGTCAGTTGAACTGACCCAAGCAGGATGATTAAGGTCTGTGTGGAGATAAACTTTAACCAAAAGTATGCTTTATGGAGATCGAGAAGCAATAAGAGCTTTTGGGAATGGCACAGCAATTAATTCGGAGTCGCCATCTTGCCAAAGGATTTATAGCCGGGAGGAAGAACGGACTTGTTTTCAGACTGCATTCCTGGTGAATCTCCTCAGAGGTTTTGAGAAAGGAGAAAGGAGGCAGATTGGTGAAGATTAATGATGCTGAGACTGTTTTGATGTATGGAAGTGATGTTATATGGAAAACGTCTGGATATGGCTACTGGATTAAAAAAAAATATCCACGCAGGATTACAAACTGTTCTAACCAGCTTGTGGAGACTATCAGAGGTCACAAAGAGAAAGGAAAAATATATTAAAATAACAACAAGAGATGTGGAAAAACAATAAGAAAGGACTGGATAGTACTGTGAACATCATAAGGTTAGATTTGTGGACATTAAAACAGCAGTAAGAAGCAAGAAGTTGATTGGATCCCCTTCGGAACTTGAAATATGGGTACCCCCAACAAAAATTTAAAATTCGGCTGTGTAATTTGGAATTTATGTAATTTGGTTTGATGGGATGTGATTGGTCGGTTAATAAAAAATTATTCTTAAAAAAAAATGTTATTCATATGCAACCTTTCCATAATTAAAACAATGCTCAAGGCTGCTTACAATGTGAAAAAAATACATAATTACAATTATAACCAAAGTGGTCACAAACAACATAAACAATAAAACATCAAAAGTATGCAACCAAATTGGGGGGGGGGGATCCACATAAATCATAATATCATCCAAAATAAAGATACAAAAATAAATGTCAATAACAGCAGCAACCATCCTCCACCAACCTACCTAAACAATTCACCAGCCCAAGAATCTATTCTGCAGCCTCAGCTTTTGTAGTTGGAGTCAGTCAGGGCTCTGCCCTCTTAGCCCAGGTGGAAAAAGGCTTGCAAGGCAGGGAGGAGGAGGAGGAGGAGGAGGAGGAGGAGGAGGAGGAGGAGGAGGAGGAGTTTGGATTTGATATCCCGCTTTATCACTGCCCTAAAGATTCTCAAAGCGGCTAACAATCTCCTTTTCCCTCCCTCCCCCACAACAAACACTCTTTGAGGTGAGTGAGGCTGAGAGACTTCAGAGAAGTGTGACTAGCCCAAAGTCACCCAGCACCTGCATGTGGAGGAGCGGAGACACGAACCCGGTTCCTCAGATTATGAGACCACCGTTCTTAACCACTACACCACACTGGCAGGTCTTTCATAGCCAAGATGCTCTACTTCAGAAGGTGGGGTACCTTCATTGGAGGTTTTTAAGCAGAAGTTTTTAAAAAACAAAAACAAACAAAACTTTCAGGACCAGTGTTATATGGTCTCAGCGGCTGCCCCCAGTCACCACTCTAGCTGCCATATTCTGGATTAGTTGTAGTTTCCGGGTCACCTTCAAAGGTAGTCCCATGTAGAGTGCATTGCAATAGTCCAAGCAAGAGTAACCAGAGCATGCACCACTCTGGCGAGACAGTCCGCGGGCAGGTAGGGTCTCAGCCTGCGTACCAGATGGAGCTGGTAGACAGCTGCCCTGGATACAGAATTGACCTGTGCCTCCATGGACAGCTGTGAGTCCAAAATGACTCCCAGGCTGCGCACCTGGTCCTTCAGGGGCACAGTTACCCCATTCAGGACCAGGGAGTCCTCCACACCAGCCCGCCTCCTGTCCCCCAAAAACAGTACTTCTGTCTTGTCAGGATTCAATCTCAATCCATTAGCCGCCATCCATCCTCCAACCGCCTTCAGACACTCATACAGGACCTTTACCGCCTTCACTGGTTCTGATTTGAAAGAGAGGTAGAGCTGGGTATCATCCGCATACTGATGAACACCCAGCCCAAACCCCCTGATGATCTCTCCCAGCGGCTGCATGTAGATGTTGAAAAGCATGGGGGCCAGGAACCCTGAGAGACCCCACAAGTGAGAGCCCAGGGGTCTGAACACTCATCCCCCCCACCACTTTCTGAACACAGCCCAGGAGGAAGGAGCAGAAGCACTGTATAACAGTGCACCCAGCTCCCAGCCCCACTAGACGGTCCAGAAGGATGCTATGGTCGATGGTATCAAAAGCCGCTGAGAGATCCAACAGAACTAGCAAACAGCTCTCACCTTTGTCCCTAGCCTGTCGGAGATCATCGACCAGTGCGACCAAGGCAGTTTCAGTCCCATGATGAGGCCTGAATCCCAACTGGAAGGGATCCAAATGGTCCGCTTCTTCCAGGCATGCCTGGAGTTGTTCAGCAACCACTCGCTCAATCACCTTGCCCAAGAATGGAAGATTTGAGACTGGGAGATAGTTGGCCATATTGGCTGCATCTAAATATGTTTTTTTAAGAAGCGGTTTGATAACTGCGTCTTTCAGCGGGTCTGGGAAGGCTCCCTCACAGAGAGAAGCATTCACTACCCTACGAAGCCCATCGTCCAGCCCTTCCTGGCTAGCTTTATAAGCCAGGATGGGCAAGGATCAAGGAGACAGGTGATTGGTTTCACTCATCCAAGCAGCCTGTCCACATCCTCAGAGGTAACAGATTGGAATTAATCCCACGCAACTTGACTAGACAGGACTCTAGCACTCTCCCACCCCAGCCCTGCTCCCATGATGGAGTCTACCTCTTACCCAATCTGAGCGACTTTATCTGCAAAAAACTTTGCAAAATCATTGCAGGAGATCATGTGGCCACTACTGGGCCCCAACAGAGCAGGTGGTTCCACTAAATTGCGAACCACCTGAAAGAGTTTCCTGTTGCTGTTTTCTGCAGATGCAATAGAGGCGGTGAAGACAGTCTTCTTCGCCGTCGCTATCGCCACTTGGTTGGCTCAACATTGAGCTCTAACCCGTGTCCGGTCAGCTTCAGGTTGAGTTCTCCGCCACCGGCGCTCTAGCCGTCTCTAGCCTTTCATTGCCCTCAGATCTGTGGAAAACCACGGGGCTGTATAGGGAAGCTTTTTAGTGTTTAATGTTACGTTTTTATATATGTTGGAAGCTGCCCAGAGTGGCTGGGGCAGCCTAGTCAGATGGGTGAGGTATAAATAATAAAGTTATTATTGTTGTTGTTATGGAACAGGATATCCCTATTTCCATCAGAGAAATGTTGGAGGGTATGGAGAAGGCTTCTAGTATCATTTGTATGTCAGTGAGAAGCTCTATTGCAGAATGCAGTTAAATAAGGGCTAAAGCAGTCTTATAATGGAATTGGCATGTGAAATAGTGTCTGGCTCTCTTTTCAAGGATCAAGTTTCCTGCCTAGATCACTAATTTCCCAAACTGTGTGTCATGAGTGGTGTAATAAAGAGCTTCTGTGAACCCAAAGAGCTCTTCCATGGAGGATGCCTGGTACAACTCTACATGACTGCCTCTACATGACTTTTTATGGGGCAGACAACTGCAAGAGCCACTTTTCTGGGTTGCCTGCTAACTAGAAGGTGGCAAGTTTATCTTTCACTCACTTCACTGCAGAGTTGCAGCAGAATAACTAGATCTCTAAGGAGTCTGACCATTGGACCCCTGGATGAGTCACTGCTCTGAGCATGCCTCTTCGAAAGAAGAAAGCATGTCCAGAACCAGCCACTCATGCAGAAACAAAGAAAAAATAGAGGTCTACTGGAGGCAAGCGATTCTCATACAGTTCAGAAAACAGGTCAAAGTATTTTTAAATGTGGAGGTCAAACGATCAGAAATCAT